TATATATATATATATATATATATATATATATATATATATATATATATATATATATATATATATATATATATATATATATATATATATATATATATATATATATATATATATATATATGCATGTTAATACATACATGACCTAATCATCTGTAATATTCTGTTTTTTAATAAATAATTTTCTCAGTATGAGAGTACAATATCCAAGCAGTGATGTTTTGCCTACTGCATGTCACCCTCTGCTCATTTCCCCTCCTACTTGCCCTCTTCCTCTGTAGCTCACAATCCCTGGGTGAGGACGATGAGGGGATTCCTATGCGTCCCCTTAGGATAATGAATGGGGATCCTGAGAGAAGATCAAATCTAGTTATAAAAGAGTAAGTATTATTTTCATTACCAGTTCTCCAGTCGTGTACATGTATTAGTAATTTTTTTTGTTCTGTGTGTGTAAAATGTACATTATCAAAGTATACTTTCCCCTCTCTGAAAGTTTCCATGACTAGCATAGCAATGTATATATGTGTGTGTGTGTGTGTAAGATTTTACAAGGAATGTATTATTGTGAAGTTAGATGTCAGTGAAGTAGAGCCACAAATTAATTATCTTAGATTAAATGTCATTCAGCAGATATTGGATAATATACTGTAAAGTTGCTTTATTGTTAAAGCTTTGAGATCAAAAAGAAAAGTTATAGCATACCATTTCCATAACCATTACCACTGTTATCACATAGTAAACTCACAAAATTGTACCAGTGAGTCTGTTAATGCACAGAATTGTACTAGTAAAAGCTATATTTCATGTCACACTATAGTTGTAGTTTCATATGTATGAGATGGTATATAACTCAGATGAAATTTACTGATTACTGTACAAGGGTAAGGTTTTATATAAGGATAAATATCCCTTATAGCATGCATTGGAAAGTCCATTTATTAGCTGGTCTTGGCTAGTGTATGGATTGTTAATAGGATAAGTGGCAAAGCAACAAAGGATTGCACGTTTAATACAGATAATTAAATGCAACACATTGAAGAAAAGTGGTTAATAATACATTGCTCTTATGTACAGAGTAAGATTTTACTGTAAATATGCCCATCAACAATAATGAAAAGGAAGAACTCCAAAATTTTTTGTGTAAAGATGCTACACTTATCCTGATGTTAATCCTACACACTCTATTATATATTAAGTATAAAGTTATTAGTGTTGCTGTACATAAATATTAATTATCCATGCCTATATATTCGTGGAATGAAATTTAAGGGTAAGTACATCTATTGACACCAAAGAATCTATGCTCATTCATAAACAAACTTACAATCTCCATAATTTTATTTGCTTTTATTGTTACATATTCTCCAAAGATAAAAAATATGTATAAAGTTTATTTACTAGATACATAATGTGAAAAACTTATATTTCCCTCATGATTCTTTAATATACATGAGGGAAGTTGGTATTGTATTAGAACTGGATAATTGAGATATATGTATATTAATACCATGTTGTTAGATACAGAATTGCATATTCTTTTTTGTGTTTGTAACTTAACTTTGGTAATTTTCAGCAAACAAATGCAGTATTTGACGCCAGACTATCATGGTAAGGTTAACGTTAAGCGTTGCAGCATGGCGTGGTGGAGGCTCCACGAGAACCTGCCAGGATAACGTAATGCTTTGAAGGAACAGCAACACCTGCTTAATATCAGGGGCTTGGGGCCAACACAACTATCTGTAAGGGGCATCTTTTCTCTTTTTAACATACCTATGTGTCTCTCAAAGTGAGGATAGGAGGAAAATCTCTTCTAGGTCATTAACGTCTCTGTTCCATATGCAGGGCCTGATATTTTTGTAAGTCTTCAAGATTCATACCTTTCAGCAGGAACTGTAGAGGGTGACACTCAACTTTTATCCATAAGATTAAAGTTACTATTGATTAAAGGTTCCTTTCTGGTAGTGATTGTGAATGTGTTACTTTTTTTTAATCAGAGTTTTATGCTAGGAGTACTGTACATTACAGTATTATATTATTCTTTTGACAATAAGAGAACAGGACCATGTATGGTTGTGGAAGATCTCTTGATACAGTATCTTAATTATTAGCTAGTACAAATTCATGCTAAAAGAAAATTAATTCCCTCTATGATTGTTAGCAGGGAAAAAAATTACATACTGTACAGGGTATTAGCTTTGTAAGAATATTCAGAGACAAATTCATTTAAGGAACAGTCATTCATGTTATGGCAAGTCGGTAGGTCAACTTTAAAACTAAATATATTTTAACTATCAACTTTAGATGATGACTCTTATGGTTCATTTTCTATATAGTACAAAAGTTTTACAATGATATGAACTTGGTATTGAAACATACAGTACAGTATTACCATTTGTTAGGTAAGCAGTTATAGAGAGCAAGTGCTTCAACATTGTTTTGATAATGAGCATAAATCAACACTTGTTTCTTTGTAGAAGTAGAGAAGCAGGAAGATCATTTTGGCTCTTAGAATTATTATGATACTCTGGGATTAGTTCTGTAATGAAACTAATAATTTCAACTATCTCACGTGACCTGCATCATCACTGATAATCATGGGAGGAAGACCATCACATGTTTTTTTCAAGTATGTATCTTTCAATGGGCATCTTCCTGAGTACAGTATGATTGGCATGGGGTAGATATTGCACCTCATGCTTTCTGACCAATCACACTGAGATGAGTTTGCATAGTGAATAGTCTTCACTGTGCTATTTGCACATATTTACAATGAAAGCATTTCACTTTTCATTTTATGTGTTGTCCAGTTCTACAGGCAAGAAGAAAATATATATATATATATATATATATATATATATATATATATATATATATATATATATATATATATATATATATATATATATATATATATATATATATATATATATATATATATATATATAAAAGTTGGCTAGAAAATTTTATGATTAGGTACTAGTGTCATAATAATCTTAGCATCCGTGATGAACTTGCAGTTTATTTTTTGTGTAGAAATTCCAAGTTATGGAAGCAATGAAAAAATACAAAGTAATTGATGGTTTTCAGACCCACTGCTTGAATATCTCACTTTTGACATAGGGGTTACAGTTACACCATTACATAACATATTTTATTTAAGACTTGTAGTGTTGAGTTACACTATTATGGCATTCACATTATCTTCTAATAAACAGATTAAGAACTTTTGGTATTACAAAGAGTGAGGGATTCTTTATTATGGATACAGAAAGGCAAGGGTTGTTAGTCGATATATTGTGTTGAACATGACTCTAGGCTAGGGTGTATTGATAAGTACAGCAAATGAATGGTTTGGAGATGAATATACATAATCCAAACTGCTTCAGTACAGGAACAAATTAAACCCCTGCCCCAAAATATATTAGTGTTGTATTACTGAAGAGTCAGTAAAGTTGCTTGAGCTGGTGTTGCCCTTCCTTCTTGGCCATGATTGATAACACAAGCTTGAGTGCCAACTAACACCATCTCTTCCCTTGCATCACCCGGGCTGCTGCTGATTTGCTCACACGGCTGCTATGACTTCCTGGGGTTATCAGACGAGTGTGTTATTGGGGTTCATGTTCCGGGGTTACTGGTTGGTGTGTCGCCTGCTTGTTTAACTCCAGTGTTGCTAGCTGTGGCATGGGAGTGCACAGTACTCCCTTGCTGATACTTGTTTGTGTTTCCTGCTGACTGTTGACTAATGGTGCTTCACTGTGTGTAGCCTGAGTGATGAGGAGTTGAGTGACGGGCCGCAGCCCCCCACGCCACCCCCCCGCCGCACCTCCACTCACTCCTGGGGACTGGGCTGCATTGGTCGCCAGGACGCCCAGTCTCGTAGCTTCAGCAACATCGCCGATGGGCTGCGACTGGCTCATGCTCAAGCCTTGGCCGTGGCAGGCATCGTGCATCAGTCATCTACTGGTTCAGCACCATTCAGACGGGGTCTGCGTGCCTCGTTCCACGGCCGAGGTACCCCGCGCACCCTGTACCCCAGGGGGCATCACCTGTCATGCCCCACCACCCCAGCCTCCGCCCGCAAGGAGCACCACCCCAGACCCCCCCGTGGTGGTCTCCTGGCCCTTCCTGCTCCTCCTAGCCAGGCGGCACAATCCTCTACAGGGCGCGAAGACCCCTCCGGCCAGTTGCTGTCAGTGCGGGCACTGCTTCAGCACATGGCATCTCTACGCCCCTGTGTCACCCTTCCTTATGTGTCCTCTAGAGTCCTGCCCCGTACTCCTCCACGCCAACCCCATATGCCCTTCCACCGCCGCTCCCTCCGTGCCCCTCCACGCAAGCCCCATATCACCTTTCACCGATCCCTTGATAACTTCCACCCCTCTAGTTCTGACTCAGACTCAGAACTTGAGACAAACCATACCCTTGCCTCCTTCCATCTTGAGGACCAGTCTGAGGTGTCTTCTAGTGTGTCTGAGGTGGTTGCCTCAACACACAGTCTCCCTCAGTGTGGCTCAGTTCACCATGCACCGCACCACACAACCTCCTACAACCACAACTTTCATAGCCAATACCACCAGCACCAACCACATCGTCACCTACCACAAGTTCCACAGTCAGAAGCCAATCATCACCATCACCGTCATTATCAACAAATTTATCAGTATCATCGTCTTCTGCCAGAAGAATCTGACCACAACCACCACCATGACTCCCATCAACAGCAAGCACAACAACTTCCACCTCATCAACACCAGGTTCCACAAACCTCACCACAAGCATCACACAATCATCACCAAAACCTTCACCTTCACCACCACCACCATCTCCACCACTGTGTTCTTCCATCATCAGTGTCAACTCTTAAGCTGTCTTCGCCTTCTGCTGGTGTATTTGCTGGTGCCTTAGACTGGGACGTATGCTGTGGTTCTGTGGGGGTGTCCGGACTCCCTCACCCCCGTAATGGCTGTGCCCCCTCCACTCCCCTTCTGTCTCTCTCTCTTAGGTAACTCTCTTCTCTTCTACTATCTCTCGGGAGTACTTGTGCCTTTGTCATAATTCTGTAAGTATTGTTGTTTCCCCAAATACTGCTGGGCATTTTGACCCACATTTGTTACTGTTGGGTGTTCCCCCATTGTTATCACTTTGCTGGGTGTATTTCCCCCAATAGTGTTACTATGGTGGGTGTGTTCCCCCAGTACTGATACATACCTGCTGAATATAATTCCTTAGTCCTACATTTCTTGGGTGTGATACTAACATCTCCATTAAAGCAAGCCTTGCGTAGGTCTGGACAAGTACACATAAGGCACAAGTTCACACCACTTAACTGCATGCTCAGTAGACACAAGGAGTTGACTGCAATCATTTTAGAGCAATTTTTCTGCAGAACTTTTGTTGATTTCTTTGTTTTAATTGATACTGAATTTTGCATCACATATTATTTTCATATTTTGAACTCCTATGATTGCATTGCAACTGCTAATAAAATAAATGGCAGTGAAGAGAAATACTACACTATTTCCTGACCCCAGATAACTGATGGGTCTTCTACAGCTTCCTGACTGTGGCTCTTGTGTCTGGCAGACTCTAGCAGACTCTTCCTTTGTTGTCTGCTTTGTTTTTGTGCTTTTATTGTGACCATACTTTACTTTGTTACTAACTTTACAGTCAAGTTTTCATGAAAAAAGTGCAAATATTTTGCTAGAATAGATTACGTTACATACACCCGGGATACTAAACAACACACTTAAGACATTAATTTATTCGCCTCTGACTTCCATTTCCATCTGAACTAGCCTTTTATTGTCCTACAATTTGCACTCTTTGATAAATAAGTTAAAAGAAATAAATAAATTTATCATCAATTATGAACCTGCAACATGTATAGAAAGGTTAAAGGTTCACAACTGATGATAGTAACTCTGAAACTGTAGTCAGATAAATGTCCTTAATTCAAAATGCAATAAACACAAATTTTACTGCACATTTGTTTGACTTCATTGTTCATTAGCTTTTATTAACAAAAAATGTAAAAAGTGAAAATCTTGGCCCCAGAATGCAAATGTTTATTTGTTTCCCAACAGCGACCTCTCACAGTGAGAGTAATGGAAGCCTTCCAGGGGACCGCCATTCTCAGAGTGTCCCAAGCAGCCCTAGAAGTGTGTCCAGACCTTACTCTGAGGTTGTCGGCTCTGCTGAGAGTCTGGTCGGTAGGGTAAGTATTGACTTTGTCTTTTAAAATTAGTGTTTACAAGATATTTTATTTTGTCGAGTCTTAAAAGTGAACTAGCCCCTCTACCTGTATACTAAGTGTGTTGTGGTAAAACTGTGTGTTCCTATGAGATTTGTTGGGAAAATTTGAGCTATATCTCTTACATTAAGACAGTGTTGATTGAGAGTCATTTAGTGATTCATATAAACCATGAGCACTACCAAATACAGTGGTCCCTCGGTTAACAAACACAATTCGTTCCACAGATTCGTTTGTTAACCGAAAATTTCATTAACCGAATCTATTATTTCAATGGGATATTGGGTAATTGGTTCCAACTAACAGAAAAAGTATACATACAAAGTACTGTATACCGGTAATAGAATTAACAAAACATTAAATATAAACTATATACATTACTGTACTGTACAGTATACTGCACAATAATAAATAAAAAACAATAGAATACTGTATTTTAACTTTGAGGTGTGTATGTCATATTACCGGCAGCTTTGTTTACATATCAAACAGCTGATTGTAGAGGTCGATGATGACACCATATTCTTTACAGAGTGCATTAGTTGTAATGCCTTCTTCATGTTTCATAATAATTTCTGCACTGTATAATATCAATATGTTAACTAAATTTCAGAATGACCAATAATTTTAATGAAAAAATGCAAAAAATACTTAAGAGACCAACAAAATCGATGTTTACTCCACTGTAAATAAAGTTAAACTGAGAAGGGTTGTTGGGTGATTCAATCAGCTGATGGGCACACAAAAACTGTTCCCTGTACTGTCTGTATTATCACTATGTTAACTAAATTTCAGAATGCCCAATAATTTTAATATAAAAAATGCAGAAATATTCAAGAGACCAATTTTCTTGATATTTACTTCACTGGAAATGAATGTAAGCATAGAACCAATTACTGTACTGGCTGACTAGCCGATCAGCTGATCAGCTGATGCGCACAACAAAACATGTTTGTCGTAAGGATTTCGTTAATTGAAGTTTTGTTCGTTAATCGAACTGAAAATCCTTACGGGAGCTAATTTGTTAATCGAAATTTCATTAATCGAACCGTTCGTTAACCGAGGGACCACTGTAGTCTTAATTTGATAGCACTGTATTGTACCATGGTTATCGAAGCAATTAATCCCATAAGAACATAACAAATTTAGAGGGTTAGAGATCGGCCACCCTCCAAACACTCCATCTACCCTTGATATACAGTATCTCTGTCATGCAAACTGTCAACCAAGAAAATAAAACAGACATATAAAGCAAGCTTAATAAGCCTTAAATAATGGAAAGCATAAATTGAGACTGTTATTTACCTGTGTTGAGGATGGTAGAGATGGTCACAAGTTCAAGTCTCTACCAATCTTTGCTGGTCCATTACCACTCTTATTACACCTTATTATGCCTTATCACATCAAGCTGCTCAGCACAAGAGGAACTATCACTGGGGCATTTTAGCATGATTGAGTAACTCACTAATTCGGAAATAAAAAAAGAATCGAACCTTCAGAGTTAGTTGAAGAGTAATAGCCATGAAGTCAACATCTGGCCCCCTGTCTTCCAAACCTTACGTGTCTTGTGTTATTGTACTCTACTGTTACAGTGGGATTTATTGAACTGTTTGTTTATCATCATTTGTGAACTTTATGTTTTCTCTTGGTTTGTATAGATTTTGTTTAAAGTTTACATCATCAGTTATTAGTTATACTTTTGTAAATAACTTACTTAAATTTGAAACTTAAAGATAATTTTTCCAAACGTAGAAAACTAAACAGGTTGAAGAGTTCTGTTGGGCGGATCAAAAACTTCCCTTGTATCACAATAATAGGTATAAACTTGCCTAAAATGCTCTGTTTAGTGATTACTGTACTGCTATGCTGTATCTGATGACATGTTATTGAAGAGTAACATATTTTATCCTTTGACAGGTGTTGGCTGACCAGGGTTTGGGTAAATACTGTGATCCTGAATTTGTTCGTACAACTTCAAGGGAAATTGCGGAGGCCTTGGAAATGACCACTGAGGAGATGGACCGAGCTGCCCATAACATCCTCTCAGCCTCCCAACAAGAACTAGCCCCTGAGGATGCCTCCCCCGAGCATCCTCAACGACAAAGAGGGCCTCGGGTCCCATCTAGACACCAAAAGCCAGATTCATCATATTATGATCATCAATCACCCTTATAGAAATAATGTGTGAATTAGAAGTCTAAATCTGTTATATGATGGTTCTTCACTGTGTCCATTCATCCTCTTCCAACCTCATGATCCCTCATGTGTCATTGGAGGCTTTGTGAAGTGGCCTTTCTAAAGATGCTTGTGTGAAGGTTACCAAGTGCTCCAGACAGAGAACCCCTCTTTGGTCCAACGGTCCCATCCCCTCAAGTTGCCTCTGCTCTGTGGATGTACTTCTGTTAGAGGCATGAACAGGGATCACAAGAAATAGGGTTTTCTAGGGCATCTGTAAAAGGTGGAAAGACAGGATGAGGCAGTGCTATTCTCCCAAATCTGTGAATAATTTTATACCTGTGAGTTTGGTCATGTTCTCATCTTGGAAGGGAATCACAAGAGTTTGGGCCCTACACTATTCCTACAATGCTGGTGAAGCTGCATCAGGAAGTGGCAAAGCCTATATTTCACATACAGCCATTAATATCGTAGGGTGGATGAGTCATATTTGTTAGGATCTTGTTGTTTGGTTTGTATACAAGCAAATGATATTCGCCCAATGTGGTGAAGTACCCACAGAAGGCTTGATCCCTTGTGCGTGGACTCTCCTAAACGAAGAGATTGAGATTTGTGAAATGATGAGCAGATTCTAGTCTCTAGAGATACTTTCAGTAAGATTCTTTTTTATATTTGGAAAATGGAGACTTACAGAAAGTCTGCTCAATCTGTTAGATAGCATATCTTTTCACATGTCATCAACCTGTTGCTCGCACTTGGAAGGTATCATATACCTGATTTGTAAAGGGATATGAAAAAGCAAGTGTTATGTCAGTAAGGTAAGGTATTAGACAAATGTTGTATCCCAAAACCAAGGGTTATGACAATTTATCAGTACCATATCCCTCACCTATGATGGGGTGTAACAATGTGCACAGATCATATCCCTCAGTATCCTCAGGCTATGAGAACCAGCAAGTGAAAACGATGCTGTATAACCTCTACACATTTGAGTAGGGGTTAACTTATTTAACCCGAAGTGCCTCTCTCAATTGTGATAATCTGTTGTTATTTCCTCTCAAACAAGTTTTCAATGAAAGGTACTGAAATCACCTCATGTCATCCATAATTTCTTGCAGTTTCTGTCTCTTAGGAATTTGCATATTTTTCTTCAGAGTTCATATTACTTTTGGTTCTTTTTTGCTGGCCAAAGAAGCTGGCAATTGGCTCACATTTTTTTTTTTTTGGTGTGGGTCTTTGTTATTGTTGTAGAGAGTAGCAGTATAATCCTGTGATCCTAGAAACACGCGTGACACTTTTTGTCGGAAACCCAAACACACAATTTAGCCCAGAACTCAAGTTTAGTCTGCATTCAACTACTATGAAAATTGTGTTGAACAATGCTGGTATGCTCATTATTAAACAAAGAAGAGACAGTCATGTGGACAACAAACAAAGAATACTACCAAAGCACAAGGGGAGTGTTGGTGGACTATTGATAGGAAACACCTTTTGAAAATGGGCTACAACTCATTAAAACAGGCTGTAACATTGGTGCAGAGTCTGGAATATAAGTCTCTTTCTTGCAGAGCGAGAATAAGCAGAACTATTCAGGGTAAATGTGGCAACCAAGTACCTAAGATTATTTTGTTTTGTCTTAATGGACTCAGTGATTCTGTCTACAGAGAGGAAATGTTGGATTTTTAAATGGGCTCTTTAATTATAACTTTGTGATGACAAGTTGGTTTTGAAACCCATTTGTCTGATTTGTATTGATTTTGGACATACAAGATTAGAATCTTGTTTTATTTGCATTTTTTATGATGTAAAAATTCTTTAGATTACTCTGTAGGACTGTTAGTTTCATTAAAAGAATCTAAAGTTCATTGTATGTTTATATCCACATTTTTTACCTCATTGTTGGAGGTTTTGAAAATTGGAGGAGAGGTTTTAGTCTTATGTTGAAGTAGTAAGTAGGTACCATTGTGATATTATTATTGCATAAAGAGAATCCACTGAGGAGGTTTAACTCAAAATCAGAGCATAATCTAAACTCTATGTGATATTGACTGAAGTAGGTATGACAAAATAAGTATGAGCTGTAATAAAATATCATTGAAGCTCAGTTTTCCACGCACAACTCGCAGAAAATATGTTACATTGAATATCCATCATATGCTCACAAGAACTGATAACTTATTTGTTTATCTCCCCATATTTTCAAACCCTCTATATGGTGGTCAGGTGCTGGAGACTAGGGCCACCTGAACCTCCTTTTGTGTCCCAGAAAAGGAAACCAGGACCACAGTGACTGTCTTTTGTCATGGATAGATCAATAGGGTCAAGTAGTCCTCTGTTTATATAATCTATATATTGAATAATTGAGAGATTTTAATATGACTATGATATTTGCAAATAATATTGTGATTGCATTTGCACTATCATAATATGACCATAGGTAGTTCATATTTTGTCTGAAATCTTCTAGCCTTGAATAGCCCTAGTTTGTGAATAACAACTTCCAAAGATCTCTGGTGCTCAATGTCCATGACATTTGTCTTTCGTGTTTCAACCATTACATATATCTAGGCCTGAATATTTTCAGCCATTTATCTCATTTCATTTAAAGAAATAACAAATTGTTGATATTTGATCAATAGAGTTTAGGAAGACAATTCCATTCTGGGATACAACTGTGTTATAAAGTATAGATCCCCATAATGTTGACTATTTTGTTGACCTGTAATGGCCAGTCTCTGTGATGGTGGGTAGCAGGCAAATTGTCTGTTGTTGTCATCCAAAGATGGTTGTGGGAAATCCTCTTTTATGCCCATGCCTGTGAAATGTTTCGATTTATACAGTCAGTCAGACAATTTGTTCATGTTTTTGTTGATTGTTTCAACAGTAATATATGGAGAGGTAAAATTTATATTCATACTAACACAGTGTAATGTGGGAGAAGGTGAATATGACAGACTGTATATATCATTAACAATTCCATAACTCATATGTTCTTCTTTTACGAACTGTGAATAATTTACTCCAGATGTTGGACATGTGTTCTGTCAAAAGTTACTACGGATGTCTCACATACTGTATGTTATATCAGTTAAGTTAAGACATGTTTTACAAATGTTACATCAGAAGTTACAAAGATAATTCACATGTCTTATCAGAGGTTTCTACAGATATTTCACATTTGTTCCACCAAATGTTATTACATATGCTGCACATGTGTCCTATCAGATGTGTCACATGTACACCAGAAGAAATTACTGCCAGTGCTTCACATGTGTCCAATCAGAAGTTACTTCAGATGTTCCACAGATATCTCCTCAGTAGTTGTAACAAATATTTTATGTGTTGTGTCTGAAGTGACAGCTGATACAACACTTCACATGTGTCACATCAGAATTTGCTTCATATATTGGCATGTGTCACACCAAAAGATTTATTACTTTTATTTGACATGTGCCAGTTAGAAGTGTTATGGCAGACTTTTGACAATATGCATCATCATGAAAGCAAATTATATAAATTTGCTCTATTTAGTGTTTATTTCATGATACCATTGTCATTAGAGCTTTTTATTTTATAATATACAACAAAATTACAACATTTATTTCTATAACTTTGTTCAAAACTAAATGAAATAAATTGTATAATCATGTCATGGTGAAATACTAGTGAGGACTCCATAGGTACATATAGGTAATTTCATGGACCATTGCTGGACTCAAGTTCTATGCTTCAAAGTGGCTGGTTTTTTACTGTAGGTTTTTATATGAGGGTCAGTATTAGATGTGGAGTTATAATCTTTTCTTTTTTTCCTATGAAAGAGTAGCACATGTAAATTTCTGCATAAAGAAGTGACAATATGTCTCACTGCACAAACATTGTTATTGTGAAATATTTGTATCTATTTAAAGGTGAATAACTGTCATCACAGGACAATGGTGACATATTTTCTACATAATTTTACTACTTCATCTAATTGTAATTAAAACACATTTACTGGGAAACTGATGAGAGCTGTTGTGCCTGGTATTGGCAGTTTACATGATTTTGTAAGGGAATCTTTTTGTCCAAGAGGGATTCTTGACTGACTGCTTCCTGTGTGGGGTTTGTTTATACAACATCCTGACAGGGTGTTTATTGAGGGTATTTTTACATTTTACTTTATTTTCATCACAGTTTACAAATTATTTGTGGTCAAAGTTCACTATATACTGTAGTATACTTGTGATTTTTCACATTCTTGATTAAAATGAGAGAATAATACAATGTAATTGTTTTTGCCTTTTATTGCTTGAATGTTGAGCAATATAAGAGGTCAAAACAATTAGCAATTCTTTTGTTTAGCCCAGATGGGGTTTATTATCTTTCCTTCCCTTATTCCCTCTCTTTATCAACTTCTCTTTTCCTATCATTCGAATAACTTTGTTTGTTTGCTTGTTATATGTATGTTGATACAGAAAAGTGTGGAAGGAACAATCACGAATTTACATTTGCCAATTCTCGTCATAATTTATACAGTGTTGTAGCAATTCTCATTTGGAATAAAGCCTAACCTTGTAATAGTATGTATATTACTTTTCCTATAGACTTGCATTATACAATGGAAGACATTTTATAACTTCAATAGATGGATCATCAGTTCAGTAATAATGAGCAGGACAGGGTGAGGGTAAGGGAAATATATATATATATATATATATATATATATATATATATATATATATATATATATATATATATTATATATATATATATATATATATATATATATATATATATATATATATATATATATATATATATATATATATATATATATATATATATATATATATATATATATATATATACCATATATATATGCTGATAACCACAAGGAAAGAAAGAAAACACGAAGTTCCCAAAGGCGCTTTAAATTGTAATTCACATCTTCGGGGTAGTACAGACAGTCTGTACTCACCCCTGAGCCTTCAAACTGTGATTCTAATCCCACCTACAGTGATTTACTTGCATATATATATATATATATATATATATATATATATATATATATATATATATATATATATATATATATATATATATATATATATATATATATATATATATATATATATATATATATATATATATATATATATATATATATATATATTTATTTATTTATCTATGTATGTATGTTGCAGATTATGGAGCCCTACATCAAGGTGTATCACGACACATCAACACTAGCCGTCAACAAAGCATTACCGAGTTCTTCGCCCACAACCCACCACAGCCAGCCCAAGCCAGTGATAGTGAGAGAGACAGTGATGGTGACTTTGAGGGATTTGTCAGGGAGGCCCTGATAAGTGTGGATGACAGTGATGGTGACTCACCTGAGGGCCAGTAGCCTGCCCTCTGCCTCGGAACCAGCCTCCATTCCCGTACGCCGACCCATCTCTTCTACTAAGGTAAGTGTTAAACCTAACCTTTATTTTTCCTAACGTAACCTAACCTTAGGTTAGTGTTAAACCTTGATTTTTTAAAACATAACTTAACCTTACATAAGTGTTAAACCTTGATTTTTTCTAACCTAACCTACCATGACATACAGTATGTGTTAAACCTTGATTTTACCTGGTAGAGTATATTATTCTCTTATTGATATTTCTCTTTTATATTACGCGTGTGTGCATACCATCATAAAGTTAAGATGTTATTTTTACTACAAAGTATGTATTGTGTCGGAAAAAAGTGGAGTTTGGGAGTCGTCCCAGTCTCTGTTTCAATTAATCCCATATGTTTTGTTGTTCACTTAACGCGTTTCCCGCTTTACGCGGGCCTCCGTGGGTTCAATTGACTGCGTAAAGCGGGGTATATATATATATATATATATATATATATATATATATATATATATATATATATATATATATATATATATATATATATATATATATATATATATATATATATATATATATATATGTATATATATAAATATATATATATATATATATATTAAATAGTTTGCCTTACTGTTGTCAGACAAAAGCCACCCCGATCAAAGTAGGGGGTTTTTGTCTGGGTGGCTTTCGTCTGGGGGGCTTTTGTCTGGGTGGCTTTTGTCGGGGGGGTCTTTTGTCTGTACCCCAGTGAGGATAGTGTCTTAGTATAAAATCGCAATGCTGTGAAACAAAATCTTAATATTTAATCTCAGTACCGCAGCAAAAGTCACATCAATATTTTTTAACCAATACTTTGATATTTCTTACCTTATAGTATTATGTCTTCCAACGAAGTAAATAACTGGATCGAAAACACAAGAGAACTTAAAAGTCGTCTAGCCTCCCCTCGCCTTGTCACGATGGAGACTTGTGCAGAACTGAAGTGAATTGCTTGTAACTGGTGGATTGGTCGGCTGTACATGAACTGATATGACCCGAGACTGCATGGTTTTGCAGCTACTGGAGACGCACTTTCCTTTAGACGGGCGTAAAGCACATCTTGATTATAAATTCTGTTCAAAAAATGGGTTTTAGAAAATGTTCAAATGATTTTTAGAATATTTTAATTACTTTTGCAATGCTAATTACTCGCCACTTATGGGTTTTCGAGGTCATTTCTTGGTGCTTGTGTATTATTCTGCATGTACTTAAATAGTTAGGCACATTAAATTTTAGTTCAGAGAGAAAACGTATTTTTGGCCAAAAATCCTTTAAGGCTATAGACTTACAATTTTCGTCATTTTGGCCAAAAAATGGATTTTGTTCAAAATTTCAGTATAGGTACTCCTGAATGTGCTGCTTAAGGATCTGTTAACCAAAATTTGATATCTTGATTATAACTTGTTCAAATGGCCTTTAGAAAATGTTCAAATGATTTTTAGAATATTTTAATTACTTTTGCAATGCTAATTACTCGCCACTTATGGGTTTTCGAGGTCATTTCTTGGTGCTTGTGTATTATTCTGGATGTACTTAAATAGTTAGGCACATTAAATTTTAGTTCAGAGAGAAAACGTATTTTTGGCCAAAAATCCTTTAAGGCTTTAGACTTACAATTTTTGTCATTTCGGCCAAAAAATGGATTTTGTTCATAATTTCAGTATAGGTACTCCTGAATGTGCTGCTTAATGATCTGTTAACCAAAATTTGATATCTTGATTATAACTTGTTCAAATGGCTTTTAGAAAATGTTCAAATGATTTTTAGAATATTTTAATTACTTTTGCAATGCTAATTACTCGCCACTTATGGGTTTTCGAGGTCATTTCTTGGTGCTTGTGTATTATTCTGCATGTACTTAAATAGTTAGGCACATTAAATTTTAGTTCAGAGAGAAAACGTATTTTTGGCCAAAAATCCTTTAAGGCATAAGACTTACAATTTTTGTCATTTTCGGCCAAAAAATGGATTTTGATTAAAATTTCAGTATAGGTACTCCTGAATGTGCTGCTTAAGGATCTGTTAACCAAAATTTGATATCTTGATTATAACGTGTTCAATGGGTTTTAGAAAATGTTCAAATGATTTTTAGAATATTTTAATTACTTTTGCAATGCTAATTACTCGCCACTTATGGGTTTTCGAGGTCATTTCTTGGTGCTTGTGTATTATTCTGCATGTACTTAAATAGTTAGGCACATTAAATTTTAGCTCAGAGAGAAAAAGTATTTTTGGCCAAAAATCCTTTAAGGCTTTAGACTTACAAGTTTTGTCATTTGCGGCCAAAAAATGGATTTTGTTCAAAATTTCAGTATAGGTACTCCTGAATGTGCTGCTTAAGGATCTGTTAACCAAAATTTGATATCTTGATTATAACTTGTTCAAATGGCTTTTAGAAAATGTTCAAATGAATTTTAGAATATTTTAATTACTTTTGCAATGCTAATTACTCGCCACTTATGGGTTTTCGAGGTCATTTCTTGGTGCTTGTGTATTATTCTGGATGTACTTAAATAGTTAGGCACATTAAATTTTAGTTCAGAGAGAAAACGTATTTTTGTCCAAAAATCCTTTAAGGCTTTAGACTTACAATTTTGTCATTTTCGGCCAAAAATGGATTTTGTTCAAATTTCAGTATAGGTACTCCTGAATGTTAACAGCAGGATCTGTTAACCAAAATTTGATATCTTGATTATAACTTGTTGTTGAAATGGCGTTTTAGAAAATGTTCAAATGATTTTTTAGAATATTTTGAGTACTTTTGCAATGCTGATTACTGCGCCACTTATGGGTTTTTGAGGTCATTTCTTGTGCTTGTGTATTATTCTGGATGTACTTAAATAGTTAGGCACATTAAATTTTAGCTCAGAGAAAAAGTATTTTTGGCCAAAAATCCTTTAAGGCTTTTAGACTTACAATTTTTTGTCATTTCGGCCAAAAATGGATTTTGTTCAAAATTTCAGTATAAGGTACTCTGAATGTGCTGCTTCAGGATCATGTTAACAAAATTTGATATCTTGATTATAACTTGTTCAAATGGCTTTTAGAAAATGTTCCAAATGATTTTTAGAATATTTTAATTACTTTTGCAATGCTAATTACTCGCCACTTATGGGTTTTTCGAGGTCATTTCTTGGTGCTTGTGTATTATTCTGGATGTGCTTAAATAGTTAGAGCACATTAAATTTTTAGTTCAGAGAAAACGCTTTCTGGCAAAAATCCTTTGGGCTTTAGACTTACAATTTTTCTCATTTCGGCCAAAAATGGATTTTGTTCAAAATTTCAGTATAGGTACTCCTGAATGTGCTTAGCAGGATCTGTTAACCAAAATTTGATATCTTAATTATAACTTGTTCAAATGGCTTTTAGAAAATGTTCAAATGATTTTTAGAATATTTTTAATTACTTTTGCAATGCTAATTACTCATACACTTATGGAGTTTTCGAGGTCATTTCTTGGTGCTTGTGTATTATTCTGCATGTACTTAAATAGTTAGGCACATTAAATTTTAGCTCAGAGAAAAATATTTTTGGCCAAAAATCCTTTAAAGGCTTTAGACTTACAAGTTTTGTCATTTCTTTGACCAAAAAATGGATTTAATTCAAAATTTCAGTATAAATTGCTCCTGAATGTGCTGCTTAGGATCTGTTAACAAAATTTGATATCTTGATTATAACTTGTTCAAATGGCTTTAGAAAATGTTCAAATGATTTTTTAGAATATATTTTAATTACTTTTGCAATACTTTAATTACTAAGCCACTTATAGGTTTTCGAGGTCATTTCTTGGTGCTTGTGTATTATTCTGGATGTACTTAAATAGTTAGGCACATTAAATTTTTAGTTCAGAAAGCGTATTTTGTCAAAATCCTTTAAGGCTTTAGACTTACAATTTTTGTCATTTTCGGCCAAAAAATGGATTTTGTTCAAAATTTCGTATAGGTACTCCTGAATGTGCTGCTTAAGGATCTGTTAACCAAAATTTTGATATCTTGATTATAACTTGTTGAAATGGCGTTTAGAAAATGTTCAAATGATTTTTAAGAATATTTTAATTACTTTTGCAATGCCTGATTACTGCCATATATGGGTTTTTCGAGGTCATTTCTTGGTGCTTGTGTATTATTCTGGAT